AGTAATGACCCTGACATCTATTTCCACGTCATCATTCATAGAAAAATCGAAGTGGAAAATTTATTTTACGACGGTTGTTGGAAATGTTATGACGTAGTAGGTGTCAATAACGTCGTCTATTATGTATTTAAAGACGTCATATTTCTATTTGTCGTTAAAGGTTCATTTAACGGCGTTGAGTTTTAGTTCTCGTCGTTGTATGTTTATCTTGCAGCCATGTTCTGTTAATATATGTCATATGTTTCCTTTTTAACGACGTTTTTTTGTTAGAGTTGGTCGTCTATTCTCATCCTCGACTGTTTTTTTATGTCTTTTTGCAGTACAAAGACGTCGGTTTTTATTTGTTGATGACGGTTTTTGTTTTAACAACGACGGGTATTTACCGTCGTGGTTTTGTTATGGAAAATATGTCGGTGGATTCCACGACCATTTGAAAACTGAATACACGACGGTGAATTCCCGTCGTTTTTTTCCTTTTTTGTAGTAGTGTGTGATCGTTAGTGGAGGCAAACCAAACTCTCTTAATTTTGATGACAGACCGCTTTGTTATTGTAATGGCCCTTTTGTGGCTAGTTTGTATTGGTCTTTGGCTAGTGACTTTTTTAGCTGAATTATAAATGCAATCTTAGAATTTCTATAATAATAATAATAATAAAATAAAAACAACAACAACAACAACCACCTAACTTATTGGAATATCCAATTGAGGATTTGATTACACAATGTAATTATATAGTAGTCACTTCTCATTGAATAAAATATAGTACCCTCTAAAATTTGTTTTATTATGGGTACCACAAAATAAACTTGTTCTTTAATTGAGAACTAGATTATATTATACTATTAATCTCTTGTCACAAGCTCAAATGGGTACCAATAGGCTTTCTTTTTGTTTTTTATTTTGTTTTTTTATTATATCCTTCTTTGTTGAGAATATTTCCACGACATTAACTCTTAATTCTTTTAATTACTTATAAATTTATTTACTTTTTTTTTATGTATTCGATCTGCTAAAATAATTTGATTATAAAAAAAAAAAAGACCCTCTAAAAATTTGTTGCCGCCTATTTTTTCCCTAAAAATTAAGAAAGTAATTAAAGCAATCAGTCAGAATATTTATCAATGAGAAAATTATGAATGATTTGAAGGTCAATTGATGACAGACCCAATTGATATGGTCATACCATTTCATTTAATGAATATTGCCATGTGAAGTCTATTTTTATTTATTTCTCTTTTTCAATAATCCTTCAAACTTAAAAAAATGACAAATATAAAGTAACCCTAGCAACGTCGCTGGTCTGTAGCTTCACGTTGGTTCTCTACTCTTCCTAACGTCTCCAGCCCTCTCTTCCTCCATCAAATCTATCCATCCCCATCCTCCATTGTTGGAGACGAAAAGAAAACAAGAGAGCACCATAACTAGAACATGGAGTAGAAGGGAAAAGCGACATTGCACACATGCAAGGAACTCGTCAAAAAGCTAAGCATATATAAACCAGCTAACAGACTATGGCCCAGTTTGGAATTGTTGTGTTGTGAACATAATCGCTATCAAGTTTGCTGTGAGAGAAATCAGCTGTAAGAGAAAGAAGTTTGGCGTTTGGTAAAGTTTTTGCTGAAAGTGTTGTTGGTACTAATTCCCGCATAATCAGAAAATGATTCCCGCATAATCAGAAAATGATTCCCGCATAATCATTAATCCCAGCGCCTCTTCGAAACTGATTCTCGTATAATCAGAAAATGAAAGTACCTCAATAGTTGCTTTCTCTTATAACTTTCTCTTACAGCAATTTTTAATAATAAATAATTTTATCATAATTTATCAAACGAGCTGGGTTTCCCAATATTTTTAAAAAATCAATTTTACCACCCCAAATAAGGTATGCCAAACGGGCACTAAGTTGAAGACGATATAGTTAATTAAAGAATAATCATATTGAGTTGACAAATGATGGATCCAACTAATTACGCTAATCAAATTTTACAAAGAATTGTAAATTCAAGAAACAAAACTAAGAGCTGGTCTCAATCTTCAACTTATTTGCTTTTGGAGAAGAGTAGACAAGTAAACATCTGAATTGTTCAACCCAATTTCAATTTTCTTAAGGAAACTCCAGGTCTCAACAATGACATGGAGGAGGGGGCAGGGACGGTCCTATGACTTGTACAACTTGGGCTATAGCCCAGGTGAGTTTTTTTTTATTTATTTCTTATAGTTAGTGTTAATGTCAATCCCATTTATAGCAGAAATATTAATTTGAACTAATTGGATAATTGTAGTGTTACCTCTAGTTGTCGTGTGTCTATCTGACTCTATCTTTGTGATGATAAATTCTCATTTTTGAATTTTCTTATGAATTTTCTTTTCTATTAATTCATTTTTGTTCATCATGGTAGACCTTAGCTGGCATTGTTGGTGTAAAATAGGCCTTTTCAAAAAATAAAATAAAAATGATATGTTCTTAAATTTTATATACATATGATCAATTTCAAAAGCCTAAAATCTAACAGTTCAATAAGGTAAATCTAGCCCACTTCATTTAAAAATCCTGGGTCCGTCCCTAGGAGGGGGGATGGGTAGATTTGATGGAGGAAGGGAGGGTGGAGACGTTAGGAAGAGAATAGAACCAACACCAGGCTACAAACCAGGACCCTAAGCTTATTTTTTAGTTTTTTAGTTTTTCTTTTTTTTTGGGTTTTAAGGATTATTTAAAAAAGATAAATAAATAAAAATAGAATTCACATTGCAATATTCTTTACTGACTCGGCATGACCACGTGAGCTGCCACATAAGGTGGCCAACTAATGCGGAAAACCACATAAGGATTATTGAATTGAAAACAACATATGATAAACAACAAAACCGATAAGGGGAAAATGCAATGAAGCACAAATATGGTAAAAACATCTAAACGATTATATGAGACATCATCAAGATCCACAACAGCATATCCCTCTAAGAAGCATAAGAGGTACTAATTAAACGACACTCGGATTCAGAGAAGCATACTCAAGCAGGTCCTCATTGCGTTCAAACATGGCCATGTGTTCTTCTTCCAAACTCAACAACGCTTCTATGCCAACGCCATCACTCATGTCCGTCAATAAAGTTGTATTCTTGGATTCATTGCGACAGAAATTCATCCATGATGGCTTTCCCCAACCAAAATCGGCTTGGTTGAACGAAAACCTGCACCAACTGGTGCAACCATAGGTCTCAATGCTATCCTTCATTATGAGATTCTTAAGCCCTTCGATGATTTGAAATGCATCCTCACCACTAACTCCATTAGCATACTTTTCTTTAAATTCGTCAATGCCCTTCCTCAACTTATGAACCAAGCTTTTAAGTTTCACAGCATCGCTTTCCATTGTCATTGCTGTAAAAAACGAAACAAAGTTCCCCAATATGTTTTCTGCCGTGGCAAGCCCTGATCTTTTCCTCATGTTCACCACTTGAACCCACGCAGATGGCTTTGTAAAACCCAAGTTTGCTCTCGATGCTTGCAACGCGCATTTCCAAATGAGTGCAGACACTACTTCAACACGCGTAGGATTTGGCACTGCGGCACTGGCAGCTTTGGACTTGAGAGCAGCAATTTTTGAGGCATCAAACACAAACCTCTTGGTTATACAGCTGTCTCTAATCAACTCCATGATCGGTTGGGGTGAATTGAAGACATCTTGTGGTGGGAATAGAGTAGCTGCAACACCAAATTCAACAGGGAGCAGAACTTGATCACTAGCAGTACTGGCTGAGCCAAGGGCAATTGTAGCCCAGCTTTTGATGAATGTGCTGAGTGTAGAGGCATCGGCGACCTTATGTGAAATGTTGACCCCAATTGTCAATCCACCGCATTCAAACGAGTTGACCTGGACTAGTAGAAGATGCCCTGCTTCAACGCTTTTGGATTTTATTGCAATTGGAATCAACTGTTCCAGGATCCCGAAATCGGGTTTTTCCAAAACCTTCCGTATGGGACAGTTGACTTGGGATTCAATAAATCCAGCCCCATGATCATTGCAGCTGATTGAAACATTATATTCGAACTCCCCCGCAAAGGGGTAGAATTGGGTGAGAGCTTCAGATAATGATGTTTTGAGAAGCTTAGATCTTTCAGCAAACAAGGAATTGTGATCAATGTTGTTGACCACATCGTCACTAATATTGTTGGGGTAGAAGAGAAGTAACGAGATATACATATCAGGTTGTAACTGATCAAAAACAGAGAGACTGGAAGTTCTAAGGTGGTGAGGAGTTGGAGAAGATGGCTTAATTGTTTCTTTGCAAATGACTTCAACTTTGATTTCTGAAGCCATCTTTTGTTTCACACTTGAGAGTTTCATTGCAAAGACCTCTATTTAAAGACGCAGAGTCACCACTTTTAATTTATATATATACACACACCAACTCCAAGTCTGTGGCCTACTGCATATGGAAAACAACTTCTTCTGTGAATGATTAGTTTAGTTAGGTGGGATTTTACGAAGACGAGACTTGTAGTTTTGATTGGTAGCTATAGCTCAGAGATTCTTCCGACCACCCAAAAAAAGCTGACAGATTCTTTTGTCTAGGATTTAAAGGCTCTCAGAGTACAAAGTTGCTAGATGGGATTGTTTATTGGTTTATTAATGTGTTCGGTAGGATTTAAATGCTTGCGGACAGATTCTCTCAGGACATAACCTGATAGATTTCTACGACACATGTTCCTTATAACACATGTTCCATTGTTTCTATAACACATATGTTCCGCACAGTTATTTTAAATATCTGTATCTCAAGAATGTCATGAACTTGATAAGAAAGGTTACATTATAGCACCACCAAGTAAATTTTCTGGCATGAACTTGCCTGAACATATCTCCATTTTCCCCCTTATACTATAAAGTATAAATAATAGGTGTTAAGTAATATTTTCTTGTCATTTTCTCATTGTATTTCAAGTCAAGAGGTCACATGATTCAACCGCTAAGACTTTTTTTTTTTCTTTTTCTTTTTCCCTCTTTCTTTTGTGTCTATAGAAGTAGAATCATTTTGAGTTCTTGTCCAATATTTCTTTCCAATTGTCGCCTCTTTCTTTCTATCTCTCTCTCAAATACACACAAGGAAAGGAAACAAGAAAGGAGAAAACTTACGACTCAAAGGATACAACAACGAGCACATAACAAAGAGAAAACCTGCAGCAGCAGAAGGAATTTCGGAATATATAAAAGAGAAAAGAAAAATGCACAAAGAAAGTGGAAAGCCTTCTATTTAGTACTACTAGCAGCAGATTCTGGACCACCTTCTCTTCTAGTAAGATCATCTTGTTTTATCTGGGACTGGTTCTGATTAGAATCTTCATCATGAACATCATGATGAGCCTGAGCTTGAGCCTTTGGAATAATATGAGCACTAGAAAATAAATCCACAGGCTCAGAATCAGCAATTTTGCCTCCTTCAAGAGGCGTCCCATGCTTGTATGCAACCCTCACAGCTTCATCCTCGTTCAGCCTCGCTTGTGAAGTCCCATACATTATGTCATCTTTGCTGTTTGCCATTTTCACTTGCATCAGCTAGCCCTGTGTCCAGGGTTTTTGATCTGCTTTCGTTTCATTTATAAACTCTGGTTTGAATCAATACGTGGCAGATTGGCTTAAAATGGGAGTGACAAGTGTATGGTTAAACTTGACACGTGCCTTATGTTTGCTATATGCATGAAGTTGTTCTGCCCACCGTCCGTGAAGCTCTCCTCTCTTGATGAACGGCCAAGATCAATTCTTACTCTACCTAAGTTGATAAGGTTGATGGTCAATATCAATTCTATCCTCCACAAGTTTGTGTACAGTGCGGTATGTTGTGTGCTTTAGGTGCGACAATGGCTTATTAAAATTGATGCTTGGTCATGAAAAACTTTTTGTTTTCTTACTTCGAGAAAATTACATTTTTGTCAATAACCAAGTTTCGACTGTTAACTATCATTCAGAATGGTTGAAATAAGGGCCATTGTGCCAATCCCAGAAGTTCAACAAATAAATTGTGTTCGATACACAGATGACATGGCAAACTAACATTAGCATTCTCAAATAAGAAGACTTATCTTCTTTCCCACCCCTCGCGGATTGAGAAAGAAAGAAGGGAGACAAAACACACACTACCAAGTTAAGGTGACATTATAAACCTACAAAATATCCTCATCAAACTTATAATGCTCCTTTTTTTCTTTCTTTAAACCAAAACTTCATTCAAACTGAGGAAACCGTGTGCTCTAGATAATCACTCGGGAATTATTTGCTCATTATCTGCATCACCTTCTGTCTCAACTTGAGGCTTCGAAGGAGCTTTGGCACCAGGAGGCTGCTTCTTCTTGATCCCACTCACAATGTCATCGATTCTGAGAAGTAGGCAAGCAGCTTCTATGGCAGTTTTAAAAGTCTGGGCCTTCACGTTGTAGGCATCCCATATCTGACATCATAATTGCTAGAAATTAACAGCCTTACCGACATAAGAAATTTCAGATTCAAGACTCCATGGATGCTCAATTATGAGCGATGGCGTTCACTTTTGTAATAACCACGACAACAGCACTTCCCCTCACATGAGTGCTGTCTAAATATATTGGGAGAAGCTCTAAACTAGAACTACTACTGAAGCAAATCGAAAATATCAACCAGAATATTGACGCTTATGCCATATCAAGACTATGTGGGCTATATTCTATTGAAATAATGGGACATATATCAATAATATCGACACCATATCAAGATGATTTCCATATAATGGATACATTTGAGAACAATACTACAGTAAAAGTCCTATTTGAGAGCTTTCACAAAATATCAATCACCCAACAAATTTGAATATTGAGATAGTGAAGGAAATAAAAGAGGGCAACAATAGTAAGTCAAAAAGATATCCACCTACCTTTTTCTCTTTCACATCAGTTATCGCACCAGTGTTACCATCAATGCCAATCCATGCATTTTCACCATTTGCATGCTATGGAAAAAAAATTGTGGTTAGGATATAAATGATGCATCATATTCTGACCAAAAAAATAATGATGCATCAGAACGTATATAGAAATGACAAGTCATGGTAAAACAGAACAAAGCCATTCAAAACAGATTCAAACCTTTCCCTGCAGTGCCGTCATTGTCCTAATCACGTTCACCCCGCAATTCTGAGCCAAAGTACGTGGTATAGCCTCAAAAGCTATAGCAGCAGCTTCATAGGGCCACTGTTTTACCATCAAAACACGTGTAGCCATAAAACTCCATTAAAAAGCATGTAAAGTGAAGCCACAACTAATTCTTAATCTTAAGTATGTCAAAGAGCATGTGAAGTGAAGTGACAGCCAGTTTATTAATAGAATTTAGATTTCTACTTCCACAAGGAGTTATTCTTGGACCAGTTTTACACAAGAAATACCAAACTTTTGGATGAGGAAAGGAGCTTTTACCTTTTCTATACCTTCTACAGATGAACTCTTTTGCTTCAATGTAGCAGATACAGTTAACTCTGTAGCACCACCACCAGGAACAAGTTTCGGATTCTTGAGGATGTTTCTTGCTACAGACATGGCATCCTATGACCAGATATAAGGGAGTAAATAACAAATTTCAGCATACTATATTTATTCTACATAATGGGGACAAAGAAGTAAAACCATTATACCTGCAAATTCCTTTCCACTTCATTTAAGAGATCCTTACTAGGACCTCTCAAGAGTACAGTACATGCTTTGGGCTCTTTGCAATCAACAATGAATGCAAAAAACTCGTCACCAATTTTCTTAACCTCAAATATCCCAGCGCCTGTACCAACATCAGACTCTTGCAATTCATCTGGTCTGTTAACAATTACAGCCCCACAAGCCTTGGCAATTCGGTTATTATCTGTTTTCCGCAACCTCCTGATTGCACTGACGCCGGCCTTGCTAAAATAATGGCATGCCAAGTCACTAAGCCCCTTTTCTGTGATAACCAGATCTGGTTTAAACTTCAATATTTGCACGCATAGGCTCTCAATGTATTCTTCTTCCAATTTTAGCAGGACTCCCCAATCTTCTTCTTTAAGCAACTCAGCATTTGTTTGGTTCTCGCCTTTCTTATATTCAAGAGGACAATCAAGAAGAATGATGCGTGGGTTGACAATCTTTCTTCTCATTTTTCCAGGTGCAATAACATCTTTGTTAATCATTACTCCTTTGAGAACCACTGAATCTTCCAACTGGCCACCAGGAACCTTCTCAACCTTTATGTACTTTTTAATATCCACTTCCCGCAGACCCTGGCCAAGGTCCACCCCTACTATTGTGGTAGCGTCAAGTGCTAAATCCTAAAAGAAAATCCAACACATACTTAGCATACCAATAGCATATCAATATACGGTCAGATCTAAGAGAGACAAAGTGTTCACACTTCCTGATTTTTAGGTTCACAGTAATTGTCACTACATACAGGGAAATGAATCCAAGTTTGAAGTTTTTATTTAATTGAAGAGTTAGCCGGTTTACTTTTACTCTGAAGACCAGTTTAATTGAATTTTTCAAGTTGATTCTCAGTGCCAAGGCGGCTCAAGCAAGTGCAAGACATACTATAAAAGACAAAAATGTTGGAAAACATGAAATCAAAGCCGGAGCTTTCCACCTAGAAGAGGATGCAAAGTCATTCTCATACAGAATAAACTTGCATGCACGAGTGTCATTAACTTGAATGTCTTAAGAAATCTTGGAAACATAAAAGACAAAGTATGGTTTATCTTATTTGTATAATAAAAAATAAAAACAAATAGAAATGCTGAAGGGCAAGAATTCAAATTAGAAAATCCATGGTTAAAGCTCATTTTTGGTTCAAGTGTTTCATGTTTTGGGGCAATATGAGCATTTTCCTTTAAAAAGTTTTGTCAGTATGTCCTTCATAGACCATTTTACAGTCTACCTAGATGAAGAATCATAATACTCATAAACCTTTAAACAAGAAGAAAGACCTACATGCAAAACTTTATTTAGACAAGCACTTACAGCAATTAAATCCCCAAATTGACTAGTGAACTTTGTACCGATACAACTTTTGACCAGCCCCAACATTGTTGCACCTGCCACATAAAGCGTACGTAAGTTATATTCCATTACAGCAAACTGGACATTTTAAAAAATCATTACCTAAGGCAGATTATTATTACGAGTAGGATATTCAAATCACTGACAGGTTTGCAATGATTAACAATGGATGTTATCATCAATAACAACCGGCACTGAAAGTATTATTCCGCATGAAGCTACAATTGCAAATGGGTAGAGTATTATTCTGCATGAAGCTACAATTGCAAATGGGCATAGAACTATGCACATTCCAAATTCAATACATATGAATGAAGCTAACATTTCTGTAATGTTCGCTTGGATTTTTCCCTTCTGGTGCTTTAATTGCAGCTACAATTGCAAATGGGCATAGAACTATGTGTGTCCAACTTGGCTTTTTCCCTTCTGGTGCTTTAAATTTTAAAGTTAAGCTATGCCTATTCCCCATTTTCTACTAAGTAAAATCTAAGGCTGCAACATCAAACCGAAAATGGATCTAATTGAGCACAAGGAATAGTACCCCTGATTTTATTTATATATACTGATCCATGACATTACATTCTCACATAAGTAAATTAACTGAGAGCTTGAGACCTATAGTCTGGGCACCAAATACAAATACAATGCAGATAGAGAATTTGATTATGAGTGGACAAGAAACTAAAGGAACTTACGATCCTTCACATCAATGCTCATTGCTATTTTGTCAAGAACCACAATAGCATCCTCCAGAGCTTTGTTGTATGCTACAACCAAAAAACAGAAAATTAAGAAAAGTAGACAAAAACAATACAGAAAAGAATAAATCACACATCAAAATCAAATCCAAAACTATAACTGAAAGAAAATTGAAGGGAATATGTTATCATAATTTCTTTCAACTTACCTCGGCAAATGACAGTAGGATGATAATGCTTGTCAATAAATGCTTCTGCAACATGGAGCATCTCACCAGCTACACCAAAATTTCATTCCAAAGGTAAGACACAGAACCAACTTTATATACATATAATAATGCATTGACATATCCAGTAGATAGAAAGATGCATAATCACCTTCTTCCATCATACTAAATCCAGTGATACATATTAATTATTTTGCAAGCTAAACCTATTTCTGTATATCATCAACTTACTTACCAAGCAATATTTTTTTCTTCGCCAGACATATCTAACAACTATTTACCAAGTCTAAAATAAAAATCTCAATAGAAACGATATTGAACAAGAATATACACCAAAAAGTAATAAACATGTTACTATAGCCCATAAATGAACAGTGAGTTGTTTATAAATAAATAAAGCTCAAACCATACCAAGGACAATGACAGACGTAGTTCCATCACCTACTTCTTCATCTTGTGTGCGACTTAGTTCAATCATTGACTATCATCGCAAATTTTAAAAGAGCAAAGGTAAGAATAACAAGAAAATTAAAATGAGGAGGGCCACATACAAAAGTAAGGGATCATGGAGAAAATAATATGGTAAAACACAGGGGAGAAAGAAAGCAGAAATTAAGG